CAGCAATTTACAGATCGAAAAGTCTGAGAAAGCTGCAGCATGATTGATACGTAGAAAACTGTGTCTAAACACAAAGTGGTTAAATGGCGAAAACCACACAGAAAGAGGAACCTCGGCAGCAGCTGTCCACCTCTGCGTAGGACGTGTGAGGGGCTCACAGGTTGAGACAGACACCGGTTCTCAGCAGGGACCGTGGCGGCCAGAGGACAGCTCGCCCTTCCTTAGCCCAGGGAGCCAACAGCGCCGGCCCAGAACTCCGTGCCGTGAAGCAAACCGTCCAAACCGCGGCTGAAATGAAAACATGTTCAGAAGAGCAAGAGCCGAGAGAATTCGCCGCCGGCAGACGTGCTCCGCAGCAGTGGGGACAGGTGTCCTCAGGGGGACGCTGGCCTGCAGGAAGGCCAGGAGCTGGAGTGTCGCTAGAGCAGCAGGTCACTGGCAAAGCCCCTCCCCTTTCCCCATAGCTGATGGCCAGACACCTGCCCTCGTCAAATGCACCAGTCAGCACCTGGGCCACACGTGGACATGTGGTCCCACGGGGCTGCCCCAGTCTCTCTGCTGTGACACGTGGTTTGCTCGGTGGCCAAAGGAGTTGCCTGTGACGGGCTCAGCTTGTGGACACACCTGGCTTGTCCCCGGGCTGCAGGGGTCACTCCCGCACGCGGCCACAGTTGGCTCTGGCCGTGTTAGCCGTCTCGTTCTGACCACGGCTTTGGTCTCTGAGGCCCACCGTGGTCTTCAGCCTTGGAGGGGGCTTCCTTATTGTGGGGTCTGACTTACCCAGGGCTTCCTGGGCGACGCGCCCTCTGCCCACCTCCTGACTGATGCGCTGGTGCGTCTGCCCGTCACTCTCGTCTGTCCCAGCTGACTCAGGACGTCAGGACGCATCACTTGGCACAGTGGTCAAGACCATGGATCCGGGAGGACGACCGAGCAGCCCAAATCCCGCTCTCCGCGGGCAGCGGCACGAACGTGCACACGTCACGCAACCTTCTGCAACTTCCTCGCTGCACCTGTGTGCACCTGGGGTGTCGGCCCCGCCCTGTGCAGAAATAAATCTGCTGTTGAAGGCGCTGAGTTCGCGGCCACAGGGCTCCGCTGCCGCTCCCTGCCCCACAGCCTGGCGCTGCTGGCGCTTCCAGCCTCCTCTTTGATCTCCCCACTGCGCCTGCGATCCACCGGGACAGGCAGGGAGCAAGGAGAGGAAAGGGAAGGAGGGGCGTCCCCGTGGCGTTGTGGCGACGGCCTGGCTGTCGCAGCTCCTGCCCTAACTGCCTGGCGGTGCCCACAGTCCCCCTCTGCCGAGCTCTGCCCCGTGTCTGAGTTGAGCCCGGTCCCCTCTCCTGTGGGGCCCACACCTGGGCCTGAGTGCTGGGGGACATCGTCCTCGTCCCTCCCAGGGTGTCCAGCATGGGCCGAGGTTGTCCCACTGCAAGGGACTCTGTCCCGCCTCTGCGGTCTCCTTGGCGCCCCCTCCCCTGGCCTGTAGCGGGTCCAGGGCCCCGGCCTTCCCCCAGGAGCCGGCAGGGCTCTTCCCAGGGAAATGCCAAGCCCCGGCCCCTGTCCCTGGACCTGACCGTCACGAGGGCTGCACGGAGGGAGCTTTGGCGTCCCCGCCTGCGGCAGCAGAGGCACCGGGGGGCGTAGGGCAGCGGGGCGTGTTCTTTCTCCGTCTGGAGGCCAGAGCCAAGGTCCAGGTGTCGGCAGGGCTGGTCCCTCCCGAGGCTGGGAGGGAGAAGCTGTCCCAGGCCCCCCGACCTGGCTCCGGGTGCTCGTCAGGGTCTCTGGCAGCCCCGGCTTCTAGCAGCATCACCCCGATCTCCGAGGCTGCCTGCCCGCGGGGCACGCCTGTTCCAAATCTCCCGCTTCCACGGGACACAGTGGCCACCGACGGCTGCGCGTTGATGGGATTATGTCAGCAAAGACCCCACGTCAGACTAGGAAATGAGGCCGCGTTCAGAAGCATTAGGGTTAGGGCTCCAGTGCGTCTGTTTGGAGGGGACACGGTTCAACCCGCAGAGGGTCGGCGCGGAGCCCGCGGCCAGCCCTTGTCCGAGCTCCCACGTGGCGGCGTCCTGGCTCCCTGGACTGTGGCGTCTTTCGTGCTGGTTCCTTGGGAGGGAGGAGGCCACTCTCAGAGCCTCCTTTGCTGGAGCTCTGGGGCCGAGTCCCCGGCACGCAAGGAGGGCCAGTACCGGGTCTGAGGGCGCCCGCTCCTGCCCGGCGTGGAGGCAGTTGCCGAAGGCAGGGCCCCGCGCGGGAGGCCGGCGCTGACTCCAGGAATGCCACGTGTGGGCGGAGCTGGCGTGGCCCCGTGGTTCCGGCGTGGGTGCTGGGGTCGTCGGGTGTGTGTGGATTGCCTGGAGGGGCTCCACGCTCAGCAGAAGGGGGCTGTGGGTGCGCAGGGTGCCGGGCGCTGCTGGGGAACCAAGAGATCCCCTGCGAGGAGACAGGCGAGCGCGTCCCTCCCGCGGGAGACTCACGTCTGGAAACCTCGGTCTCCGTGACGCTGTTGAGGAGCCGCCAGGGGGTCCCTGAGCTCAGTCGCCGGCGGCACAGAGAGCTGGAGCCCGAGACCACAAGGGCTGCCTAGGAAGAAAGGGGCTTGCCGTGGGGGAAGCCAGCGGGAACGGGAGGACCGCCCCAAATCCACCAGCCCGACCGGGCTTTCCTAGAGGTGGAGTGAATGATGCGTGAAGTTGTGAGCGCCGTTGCGTGTTGGGACGGGCGAGAAATCGCACTGGCACACGTGTCCAGGATCAGAACTGGCGGGTGAGCCCCTTCCGGGGAGGAGCTTTCAGTGGCATAACCGGCCAGGTGACACTGGCCGCCCCTCAGTCTGGCGCACAGGCCGGTGGGGGCAGGTTGCTCAGCGGGTCCTTGGGCAGGAGCCCTGGCGTGGCCGCTTGTCGTATTCTCTGAGTGATCGGCTGGTGTAAGGATCTGCAGTTACCTCGGGCTGCAGGAGGGCTCCATATTTCTGGGAAAACCACCCGAAAGGGAGGGGATCAGGGAAGCGGAAAGTTACAGTCTGGGCGGCAAACCTCACTGGCTGGGGACCTGGGACGTCGGAGAACCAGGCAAAGGCGTTTTGTTTGCAGCCAGTTGCGGTGTCCGGTGCTAATGAGCAGGCGCCTGCAGGAGGACCTCTGAGAGCGCCTGCCCCGGTGGCCCCTTCCCGTCCACCCTCCACGAACGGCCTCGCCAGGCTGGCCATGCTGTCACCCTGCCCCAGGCTGCGCCCGCCTCGTACACCCCCCGGACCTGCCCAGGGCCCGTCGGCTCTGCCCAGCAGGTGGGAGAGGAAGGTTTTGCTGTTTCCTCGTCTCACGCGGTGCTTTGAAGGCCGTGCCTGATCGGGGGTGGGGGTGGCGGCCTTGAGGCCTCAGCACTGGCGCGGGGGTGTCCCCGTGAACACGCACCTCACGCTTCACGACGAGAGGCTCCGGCCTCCCCCGACCCGGCCTCTCCGAGGCGCTGGCGTCACGGGCTGGCCCGGCTGGGTGCCCACGGGTGCATTGACACGCGTCACCAGCAAACCTGCGTGTTAGCCCGGCACCGCCCGAGCACACGTGTCTGCGTCTGTCCCTGGCTTGCCGGGCAGTTGCCACGGAACAGCTCCGAACGCTCTCACGCACCTGCCCACCGCTGGGCTGCGTTTCGGCCTCGCTGGGGTCTTAAGTTGGGTCCACGCGTGGGCAGCGCTGTGCCTTATGCGTCTTTGGTTGGCCGTGAGGTGGAGCCTCCCCACCCTTTCCAACTCTGCGCCGTGAAGAGTCCAAGGCCTCGGTCTGCTGATCCCCGGCGGCTGCGCTTTTCTTAGTGCTTGAGCGAGCGGGGAGTGGGTACAGTGCTGCGCACGCTCCGGCAGCTGCGAGATCGAGATCGAGGAGTCCCTGCAGGTTGGAATCCCTGCCTTCTGTTTAAAGGTCCTCGCAGGGTTTTGCTCCGTCCCCTCTTCCCTGGGCTGAGCTGAACTGGGGTGGGGGGAGGGGCTAAAGGCCCCGAAGCCCCCAGGAGGTGCCGTCTGCCTGCTCTGCTGTTCTATCTGCTCCCGGCGCTCAGGGGTTAAGTGGGGTGCTTGTTGCTGATCCTGACCCCGCTGGTCTGATGGGTGCCCTCCTGACACTCTAGTGCTAGTGGTCCACTGAGACTGCAGCTTCCTCCTCCCACACTGTCCCGAGGGTTTGCTCTGTGCTCCTCAACCAGCCTTAAGCTCCATGTAGGAAGACTGATGTCTAAGTGACTCCTGAGCCCGTTCTGGGACCCACAGAACTTGCCGGTTCTTGTGAGCACACAGGGGTGGTCCTCAAACTCTGTGGCTGGGCCAGCTCGAGGGCACCCCTCTGTGTGGGCACCGCTCTGCATGGTCTGCCATCCCGGGTCACGTGCCAGGAGCCCAGCCCGGTGCCCAGGGCTCTCAGGGCCCAACAGGGCAGGGTTTCTGCTTCTCCCCAGCTGACCTTCAGCCCGGACAGGCTGGGGACAGCAGGGGACAGGTGCCCGAGCCGCTCAGGATCTGTGCCTGTTCTGCACCCGTGCCAGCTCGGAGGCCGTCCCCTGTGGGCAGGGTGTGGCTTCGCGGTGTAGGGGAGCGGAGCACAGCCGGGTCGCACGTGCTCTCGGATCTTGCTGTCGCCCACGTGCTTTGACCTCAGAATTTGAGAGGACGTGTGAATTGTCTGGCTTCTGCGGGACAGGGGACCCACATCCCAAATCCGTGGTGGCCATGGGGGTTCGGGGGAGGAGCAGAAACACACACAACCCATAACTCCTGACACAGACATTTATTGATTATGTAGTAATTGGCCTTTGTCGTATCGGATGCAAACCGTCAGTCCCGAGGGCCTGCAGGGACCCCATTGAGGGACGAGTGGGTCATCTCTTCCTGGCAGGGACCTGGGAGGGGTTGCATGTTCAAATCTCCCCCCAGGAGGCAGCTGTGCAGCCACTGCAGGGCGGGGAAAGGCACAGCCAGCAAGGGCAGGGGGTCGAGCCCGTCAGCAGCTGGACCTCTGGCCCAAGGAGAGGCCACAGCAGGCCGGGCGGGGACAGGCAGGGCGACAGAGGAGGGACACACAGGAGGCCGGGCGGGGACAGGCAGGGCGGCAGAGGAGGGACACACAGGAGGCCGGGCGGCAGCAGCTGGGCTGGCAGGAGGAGGCGGGGGCACCGCAGGCAGGTCTGCACACGGGGCGGCAAAGGAGGGACACACAGGAGGAAGGTCTGCAGCAGGATGGCTGGCATGGGGAGGAGGTGCAGCAAGCCAGCTGGCAGCTAGACTGCTGGCAGCATGAAGAAGTCCCAGAGCAGACAGGCTCACAGCACACAGACTTGCAACAGACGGGCACACAGCAGGACTGCTGGCATGGGTTGGGGATGCAGCAAGCTGGCTGGCAGCTAGACTGCTGGCAGCATGAAGAGGAAGTGCCAGAGCAGACAGGCTCACAGCACACAGGCTTGCAGCACACAGGCACACAGCACACAGGCTTGCAGCACACGGGCACACAGCAGACCTGCTGGCAGGTGGAGGGGGTGCAGCAAGCCGGCTGGCAGCTAGACTGCTGGCAGCATGAAGAGGAGGCCTCAGAGCACACGGGCACACAGCACACGGGCTTGCAGCACACGGGCACACAGCAGGCCTGCTGGCAGGGGCAGGGGGTGCAGCAAGCCGGCTGGCAGCTAGACTGCTGGCAGCACGAGGGCGTGCAGGTGCTGATGCAGACTGACTGGCAGGGGCTGGACACACAGCTCACTGGGCTGCAGACCAGGGTGAGGCAGGGGGCCGGGGCGCAGCAGCTGGGGGCGCAGCAGGGGGGCTCGCAGCAGCTCTCTGGGCAGTCGTCCCCCTGCCAGGAGTCGGGGCAGGAATCGCAGGAACCGGGCAGGCAGACCCGGCTGCCGTAGCTCAGGTCGCTGGAGCAGACGGACACGGCGGACGCGGCCATGCTGGAGTTGAGCTGGGAGGTGATCTGGGAGGAGGGTGAGTGAGTGAGGAGTGAGTATGTGAGTGCGTGCTCGGGGCTGTGGCTTTTATACCCCTCCTGGCCTGGTTGTCCCCAGAAGCCCCAGAAGCCGCCCCTTCCCTGTTGGTGTTTGGCTGGTGGCTGGAGACCCCTCATTAGTGCTGGTTTATCATCCGCCATTACCTCTGTGCTCATAAACTCGTGTGTATGTTGCAGGACTCTGTTTCTTCCTCTGTTCTTATTTTGGCTCTAGAAAAGTTGTAGAAAATATTAGAGGTGACCCTCTGTTGAGTTGAGTTTTTAGAGGTGAACACTTTTCCAAAGAGAATTCTGAGTCCATCTATGCTATGTTTAAAGTGATTAAATACTTTTTATTACTTTCAGTGTTTTAAAATACAAATATCAAGAAAAATGTGCACATCTGATAAAGTACAACTGGCCAGTGGAGCTGAATGTCGTCCTTCAAATGACCTATGCCTTGTTGACGACAGCGCCCAGAGGCAGGGTCGATGTCTGGTGTCCAGCGCTCTCTCCGGTTCTTCATGACACACTCAGGGTCCTCTCTGTTGTGTCTGAAGCTGTCCCCTGATCTCTTCCATTTTCATTTTGCCAGGCAGAACATCAGTGCTGCTCACATCCAGTGATTTCAAGGCATTCATTTCAGTATTCCTTGTGCGTGGAGGTGCGTTGACTCCCTCACACTTAAGGGATAGTTTGGCTGGGTATAGAATTCTCCTTTTAAATAATTGTTTTCTGAAAGCAATGAACACAAACCTCCACTTTTGAGTCGTGTCCAGTTGCTGATGAGAGTTTGATGCTGGTCATTTGTTATTTTTTATAGTTTTTCTCTGTTTAAATTTTTATTTAACTCTCTGGGAGAATTTAGTTTTTATTTTTATTCTTGTTCTAAAATGTCATGTTTTTGTTTCCAGGCTTGTGTGTTATTTTGGTTTCTGTGGTTGGAACTCTTTGAGCCTTTGGGTGTGAAGACCTATTTCAGGAAGTGTTTGTACATTCTTTTGAAAATCATTCCATCTTTCCTGGTCTTTCCTTTTGTGACTTTTGATTTTGTCTTGTGATGTGAGTGAAACATGTTTTGGACTCACTCTGAGGATGTTATCTTGAATTTTTAAGAGTTTTCTGGCCAGGCGTGGTGGCACCTGTAGTCCCAGCTACTCGGGAGGCTGAGGCAGGAGGATCGCTTGCCCAGGAGCTGGAGCAAGACCCTGTCTCACACACACAGAAGTTTTCCTCTGGTTTTATTGCACATGAGATGAAGCCTGCTCATTGGTGGCAGCTCATTCAATTTTCTGAATGGAAGACTGAGTGACTTTGTGCGTTGGGGTCCTGCTCCAACTTACACACTCATCTCTTTCGACCTGCACCTCTCTTCTAGTAATATGTAAAGGATCCGGCCGAGCCTCCCTTTCTTGTTTTTATGCCATTTTGAATTCGTTTTTATCATAACTCTCTAAGTGTCCTTCCAGTGAGTGTGACAGGGGCGGTACGAGAGCCACACGCTCAATCCCCTTTCCGGAACCGAAGAGCTCGGAGTCGCTTCAGGGAGATGACAGGAAAATCAGCAGGCCGGCGCCACATCCTGTCCGCCGGTGCTCACAGGTGTGCGCAGGCGACGTGTGGTCTCTTGTCAGGCAGCCACTGTGCGAGGAGCGGCACCGGAGCCCGTTTTTACAGATGCAAAAATGCTGAGAAAAGGTAAATAATCTTCGGGAGAGGACAGTGGGTCAGTGGTGAACACGAGGACCCAGATTCAGACCCATTTCCCGCACGGCCCCGCACGCCCTGCCTCGGGACTCACTTTCCCCCCCGCCGTCCCCGGATGCCCCTTAGCGGGACGGGCACCACGATCGCTCATCTCTGTGTGTCCGTCTGTGGTCGCGCTGTTTGTGCAGCTCCCGTCCCCTTGGCCCTGCACTAGCTGCTGCTTCCGAGGCGTCCTTCCGCGGGCACTGCTGTACCCACAGCTCTCCGGGATCTGCACGTGTGCTCACTGCAGACGTGGGCTTGGCTAAGAGAGAAGATCCTAAGTGTCCTCCCCGCACAAGAAAGGCGCCGATGTGAGGTGATGACCACGCCGATTCCTTGGTCGTGTAATCGTCACACCGGTGCGCACACACCGGCCATCGCGTCCTACGCAGGTGCGCGCACACCGACCATCGCGTCGTGCTCCTTAAATCCATATAGTGTTTATCTGCCAATTACTCCTCAGTGACGCAGGGGAAGGAGGATGGCGAGGCCCCACCGGTGGATGGGTGTCTCAGCGAGCAAGCCGGAAATGACATCTCCGCACCAACAAACGGAAGCGGGAAAGCCGTCAGGATTCTCAGTGCGTGAACTTACTCTTTACCTGAAAGTTCACGGCAGAACGCGTGGAAGACTGGAGCGGACAGAAAGTGCGCTGAGATCACGACTGCGCTACGCCCGGGACACCGCCCCTTCGCAACAAGCGGCAGGAGACGCCTCCGTCACCTCCAGAAACGAGCCCAGGGTCTGCGGCGTCCCCTTGTTGTCCCCAGCCCGTGGCGTGAAGGAGTAAAATGAAAAGAAGTCTTCATCTAGGAGAGGGAGGAATAAAC